AACCTAATGGAATGCTTTCTTTGAAAAAAAAAAAATCATACCCGAGAAAAAATATTTTGTATATAAATGGACATATTTTATATATAATTGTATATAAAATATGTTAATTTTTTATATAATTATATATAATTTTATATAATTACATATAATTATATATAATTATATACGTAACATTTTTTCCCAGAACATCCTTTTATTCTTCGCTTATTAAAACAAATTAAATTACAATTTAATAGATCGATTAAAAAACTCAACGAAATTCTTTAACAATTTAGAAAATTCAAAGAATTAATAAAAATATTTTCATTATTAAATGTAATTGTATTAATATTTATATATGACAGAAAAATGCAATCAGAGCTGTTTATGTTATAAAAGATCTGTTTCTATAGCTGAAGTATACTTTTAAATCTTAAAGTGAGATAGACATATGACTTTAAAATGTAAACTTAACCTACGTTATAAGATTTCGAAAAATTGTACATTCACTTTATTTGTCACCAATTTTCCCTAAGTGAGCCCATATAAATCATCAAAAGAAGTTGAAATAAAAAAAAGACACATATTATGCTATAATTAGCACAACTAATTGCATATAAATTCGATGTGTTCGAAAAATACAAAGAGAAAGAAAATGCCACATTAAAAGAAACAAAACTCGTTTGTCTTACCGTAGAAATTCGACAACTGGCAGCTAGACAGATGATCAGATCGGAGCACAGATCACAATGAAACGTACAAACAATTTACAAGATTAAATATACACTTGGAAATCAAAAAAGTCAAAATCAATCAAAATGAAGGAATCCGCTATGGAATGTGTTCCAGAGTTCCACTTGACACTCTCAAAGCTCATGGAATCGTTTCATTCTTATTTATTAAATGTTAAACAAGGATAAATAAGTTCGCGAGTGTGTGAACGCCAAATGGAATACACCTTTGATGTAAAAATATATTTACATCATGAAATATTATAAGAATATTATAATACGAATATATTATAACGAATATTTTACAGTATTTATACTATGGAATCCTTTGCCTTCACTAATTTTTTCCTTCTCCAATCATTCCATTGTCACGTTCAAAACCCATCTAGTTACTTCGTACGTTTGTGACTAATTACAAGTATTGTCGATAATACAGTGTTCTGTACTCTGTTACGTTTGTTTATGTCAGTTCATTTTCCTTGTCATCGTCATGATAGATTTCCAAAAAATGGAATTTCATTTGTATAAACGGTAAATAATTTTTCGATGTGCATCATGACATGATACGTCTATCAAATCGCTATGAATAAAACATCAATGTGCAGATACGCACGTACTTGTGGCTGACATAATTTTTAGTTTAAAAAAATGTCCCATGTCAATCAAGGTCAAGGAATCGGAGAGACTGTGGACTTTTTAACGAAATTTCATAATATTTCGAATAAACTGAAAAAGTAAGTCCTTAAAGCACTTTTTGTAATTGAAAATTCTATCAATGATGATTTTCTGTCTTACGTTTTGATCTTTTAGACGATTTCTGAGGAAGCCGAACGTTGCAGAGGCATGCGATCAATTTAGTAAGTGTTTATAATTTAATATATAATTAATAAAATTAATAAATAATAAAATTAAATTAATAAATAATTAAATTAACATATCTCTCAGAAGTCTTCTTACTGAAAAAAAACACGTTACACAGATGCATGATGAAATTATGTAATTAAACATGTAAATCACATAACGATTTGTTCCAAATCAGTTAAAATTACATATTTTGAAAAATCATCACATGATGATATGTTCTTTTTTCTTCTATTTCTATTATTCAATTCTTTAAAATTTGATGACTATAAAATCACATGAATGAAATTATTTCTAATATCATGTGATTTCTCAAATTACATCGTTATAAAAAATCACATACTGATTTGGAATAATCTATTATATAATTTACACGGTTTAATTACATGATTTCATTATGTAATATTGTGATATGATTTTTTTTAATAGGGCTAACTGACCAATTTCGTTTTTTTTTATTTTAATATTAAAATACATGATTATTTGTTTTTTTGATCTACTTTATTTTATGAAATTAATAAGTTTGACTTTTGAAAGGTTTGTATAATTATATGTAATCTACAAAATAATTTAATTCTATTAAGAAAAGAAAAATATTAAATAAAATTGCTTAATTTTTTTTAGGTGCCTTAGCTACTGAATGTGAACAGAAGGAATTATGGCAATATGCAGGCTTATGTTGGTTGGCAGCTGCTAGATGCCAAGGTACATTGGAAAATACCTCCTCGGAAATAAATCTTCTAGTAAAAGCGGGAAGACAATTCCTTACAGCTGAGAAAAAAGATAATGATATAGGATGTTCCTCCATAGGTCAAGAAAATATACAGGTTTCTTGTGCAACATGAATTTGCAATAAAAAAGGAAATAAAACGAAAGGACTAAATATAATTCACACATATATATTTCAGGCAGCTGTAAGTTGCTTTGGCCATTCCATGGCTAGATGTAGCAATCAACCAGGATTCAATACAATTTCTGCTGGTTTATCAATAGAATTAGCATTAGCGTTGGGTCCAGGTCCTGCTGGTATCCAACAATTGCGCAAAGCAATTGATATCTTTCCTACGTCAAAAGCTATCAATACCTTAGTGTCGTTTCATATAAGACAGGGTCAGTATTTGATCAGGGTCGTTTTTATCAGGGTCAGAATCCGTTTTTATCTGCAATCTCATAAATAATCTCATGAATAATTAATATTTTACGATTTACGATTTAATACAGATAGTTCATGTAATTTTATTCTCACAGGAGATTATGTAGCTGCGCTACAGATACTCAATGAATTTGTAGAATTTGTAGAAGCTTGTGTTGCGGCTGGTGCCAGAGGAAACTATAACACTATCCTACATAGGTATCTTATATGAAGATATTGTAATAATAAATTGGGTGCTCATTTTTAGTGTTTAAAGCGAGTTCTGATTTATTTTAAAAAGTTAATAGTATATCAGCTATGCAAAAAATTAATATTTTAAAAAATCTACAGAGATAAGCGAATGAAACAAAGACAATCAATTTATAAATAGAAAATTCTAAAGAAAGCGTTGCTCTATTCTGTGATTAGTTTCATAATTATCATTTGTAAAATTTGTTACTGTGTATTAAATTATTATATTACACTTAATAATTAAAATTACATATAATAAAATTAATAATTAGGTGCGAAGTGACGCGAGTACTTTTACTGCTCATTCTTCAGCCGTCACCCCAGAGATTGACACCATCGCTTGCTCAGGTCCTCGAAAAGTATGCTTGGGCAGAAGAAAATGTGAACAACGGTACATATCAGACTTCCAATTGTACAGAAATTTTTTGGTTTTTCCATAATCATTCAAATTATTAGATCAATTGCTTTTTACAGGTCTTAATATGAGCGAGGATGAATTATTATTGCTACAATCCTTGGTATTAGCGTGTCAGTCTCATGATCATCAAGCAGTCTTGGAACTTGAGAGCGAATTATATCCTTATTTTGATACAGAGCAAAAGGAACTGTTGCATAAATTAATACAAGTAGTATCAACGCAGTAAATATACAATAATGCTACGAATTATGCGCACAATATTTTTCTCCTGATTATCATTTACCAGGGATATTTTTCGCGACTTTATGTCGCGTCGCGTGATCCACCGAAATCGAAAAACAGGGTACATTCCTTGAGGGACGAGTAAGGGATGCCCTTCGACCAGTTGTTTTTCTCATTTCGCGCAATTACGTTATTAGTCGCCTCGAAACAGGTTCCTATAGCTAAACTGTATCTCAATCGAGGCACCAAAGATGAGCAACATGCTTTTATTAATTCAGTAATGATTGTATTGTAAACGGCGAATGCAGTTGACGAAAGACAGTAGCGAGTTTGTCTCGCTTCTCGCGTCGATCTCGATCGTGGTAACAAAAGTACAACATGAGATGTGAAAGGAGAAGGAGGAGGAGAGAAGGAGGAACTTTTTAGATGAGGATCGTAGAACGAGCGGCTGGAGTAGAACAAGACGAGGCTTGCAGGAAGGGCATAATGTGTCGATATGGAATCGTGAAGGAGGGGATGTCTCGCACGTCCCACGATACACTACCTTCGCTCTTCTGCAGTTACTATTCAAGGCAGAGTCGCAGTCAGTCATTGCGCGAAAGTGCCTTGTAGTCCTTCGGATCGAAATTGATTGTGTCCTTCGTTGAATTATCTAGCACTTAGTCTTAATCTAAGGTAATGATCTCTTTATTCCTTTATACAATATTAAGTCTTGTAATAAAAGCGAATTACATATATCGCAATTAAAAATTCTTTGGGATAATAAAGAATTCCAAGACAATGCGTCAGCTAAGTCTAAGTTTTATTCTAATTCTAAACTAGAATGATAGGAAATCTCTTCGAGCGAGAACAATCTCTCGTAATCTGATGAGAAAAATCGGTTCTCAAGGACGCCGATTAATTTCTCTGAAAGGCCAAGGTTCGTAGAAAGAGATTCTTAAGTATTCAACTCGCATTGCAAGTACACGTCAATAGGTGATTAATGAGGCATGAGTAAATTAAGATATCTTGACTTATTTATGATCAATTTCCTTTGAAAATTATTTACAAATTCATTTAAATAATAAGCCTTATAATCTATAAAAAAAACATTTTACACAAATATCTGTTTGGGAATATGTATTAGAAATATACTTCTAAACCGAATGAGTGTCGAGCAACAGTGCGATTTCGAATACCGTTAAGTATGACTTCACGCGAGTTAGGCTTCGAGCTTAATGAATTGGAAAAATTCTTGAACATATACGAATCACGAATGTATTCGAAAACGAATTTACGCTCGTGATTATATACATTTTATATATAATCATGTTTCGATTTTAGATATTCGATTTTAGATATATAATTATTTGAAATGTTTAAAATTTAACTATTTAAAAGTTCTTAACTTCTAAATTAAATTTTGATTTTAAATTAATATTAATTATATTAATTTTATTGTTACATTAATTTTATATAAATATTTTTTTATACTTACTTTATACGTTCTTTATGCGTTCCTTCTTTTTGACTTCGTCGAAGTGCAAATATACCGTGTTCCCGCTGCAGTGATTTACCACGTGTTTCGGCAACCTTGAACTCTGTTTGCTCACTTGAACGAAGGTGAATGTCCTAAGCACCTGCACACTTCAGCTTGCAAACGTACATCCGTATGAATAAAAGTCTGATCCGCATGCACCTAGAGTTTAAATTGAATTTGTTTCGGACTAATAAACGAATAAGCAAGCATAGATAGTGACTTAACAATTTGTTATATAAATGTTCTTATAATAAAATCTTCCTATTAGAAGAACAAAATTTCGGTTCTTAGATAAAAGAGATGCATTGTTTTTTTACAACACAAACCTTTAAATTAAATTCGTTATATTGTATAAATGATAATATTATTTTAATTAAAAATATCAATATTTTTTCGTATAATGTTTGAAGGAGTCTCGACGAATGTAAATTAAAAATTGAATTCCTAGTCGAGAAGATGATGGGAGCCTGGAAAACCATTTTCGTAACTGGAGGCGCTGGTTACATCGGCAGTCATTGTATCGTCGAGCTTCTAGAGTGCGGCTACGACGTGGTGGCTATAGACAACTTTGCAAACAGCGTAACAGAAACCGACGGCGAGTCCGCGGCGCTCAAAAGAGTTGAGCAAATAACAGGGAAGAAAGTTACGTTTTATAACTGCGATTTACTCGACAGAGAGAAGCTTGAGACCGTTTTTAATCAGGTATTACGTTCACTATTATATTACATATTGTACATTCTATTTATAAAGACTACTCCATTGTAATTATATGATATTAAGTTGAAGAGAGTTAGAGAACCGTTTGTTTTTCTGGGCACATGAAGAGTAATTTGTAACTTACAGCATAAAATAGATTGCGTGATACATTTCGCGGCTATTAAAGCTGTCGGCGAGTCGATGCAAGTTCCGCTTCATTATTATCGTAATAATATGATAGGAGCTATTAATCTGCTTGAGGTAAGAAGATTATATTACTCGCGTGCGCTCCTCGAATCACTTCTACAATTCAACGCGTCATTCTTTTTTTTTTTTACAGGTGATGAAAGCGGCCAGCTGTTTTCAGCTTGTATTCAGTAGTTCTTGTACGGTTTATGGCGAACCTACAGAATTACCCATCACGGAAGAACATGAAACCGGTAATATCACCAATGTTTACGGCCGAACAAAGTATTTTATTGAAGAGATGCTCAAGGATATATCCAGAGCTGAAAAGGTTCGAAGATATAGAAAATCTCGATATGAAATTATTTCAATTTCAGATTAATGATTGAAATTTTATGTAAAAATAATGTACTCATTTTTACTCATATATAAATTTATTCTAGATTATAAGAATAAATTTTTTACTTTTAGCTTTCTCTTTTAGAAGAAGTAATTATGTTATTAACATTCTAATTTAATTCTAAATTAATGCATATTATTTTATTTTTTATTAAGGATTTCTTTCGTTTAACAGAATTGGAATATTATATCTTTACGATATTTCAATCCGGTGGGTGCTCACCGATCAGGACTAATCGGAGAAGATCCGACAAAACCATTTACAAATCTGATGCCGTATATTGCTCAAGTCGCTTTGAGACACAAGCCGGAGTTGGTCATATTCGGTGGTGATTATCCTACAAATGACGGGACAGGTATAGAAATGATAATGTTAATATCAAATGATAAGTTCATCGAACACTTTATTTAGATCATTGGTTCTATACTCACGATTTATACTTTTCCAGGTGTCCGTGATTACATTCATGTTATGGATTTGGCAGCCGGCCACGTGGCGGCATTAAATGCTTTGCACAAACAGCACCTTAGGCTAAAGATTTATAACTTAGGCACTGGCAATGGTGTGACCGTATTGGAATTAATAAAAACGTTTGAGAAAGTCACTGGTACTACTGTGCCGTATATTATAAAGGAGAGAAGAGAGGGCGACATCGTGTCCATGTACGCTAATACAGATTTGGCAAAAAAAGAATTAGGCTGGACAGCAAAGTACAACGTTGAGCAAATGTGTAAGTAATATATTTCGTGAGTTTGAATAATCTCAAATAATCATGTCTAAAACGATAAAATGTTGAATACAGGCCAGGACTTCTGGACGTGGCAAACGATGAATCCACATGGTTATCGAACTTCATTAAAAAACGGAACTATTGAACATCTGAACAATACATCGTAACAACAAATTGTATCGAGAAAATTTTGCAAATAATTTATAATAAAGGATCGATGCATATTGTCTCATAATTTACGTATGTCTATAGATTTATCTTACATTTTATAATTCTTCTTTACTCTCATTTTCGCTTCTTATGTTGTCGACATTACTTTCATCTTTCTTACATTCATCCAGAATTTCATAGAGCGATAAATGTTGAAATTTCAAAATTTCTAGACCCCAACTTGTCCATCTAGGTAATAAGTATCTTGCAAAAATTTCTAGACATTTTGGTTCGTCCGGCAAATATTCCTTTATGATTTCTAAGGACATGAACAAATTTTATTGTAATATATCAAATATTTTGTGGAACGTATCTCATATTTAAATTTTATATTCGCACCTGTGAGTGGTGGTTTGTGTGAATGTACCGCACTAGGTACACTGATCATCAATCTGCTATCAGGGATATTTACTTTGTGATCTTTTTCCAGTGCAGACCCTAATATCAGTAATTCATAAGGTTGCTTTCCAGGTGCTGAGTTAAAATTACATATTGTGTCACCTGCTTGTGTCACCTATAGTAGCAGTTATTATTTAATACTTATCACATTGATTTTTGACTTTATTGAGATATTATTTACCTTGAGCCAATACCACTTAGCTCTATAAGTAATACCCCAAGATGGAAACATTTCGTTAAAAATACTATTCAAATGGTTGGATGAATTAGTACACCATACAGCTACAATACCGTTTGAATGTAATAGTTTTCTTATTGGTATTTTGACCAATTCCTCATTGTACATCATTTTGTAACTGTAAAGATATATAATCGTGTCTCCCTAAATATCTTATGCAACATAGGAACATATTGGAATAAAACAATTTATTTATGTGCATTTGATTCATTTTTGGAGACAAAATTTTATTTAAATTTAGATATAAACATATTAAATTTATAAATTTATTATATTTTCTCTAAACATATTAAGATTTCGTTTATGTAAAGAATCATGTTAGATTACCAAGCTTCTGCATATTTCATCTTTTTCCTTCTGATTGACTTGTTCCACCAAGGTGGATCTAACAATATGAAATCATATTGATTGCTCAGTTCCATTTTTTTTTCTATATCTCTTACATCATAGCAATAAAATGTACATTTTTTGGGGAATACATATTTTTTATTATGAGCCACAGATACAATAGCGTCATCAGTATCATTGGATCCATAAAGGTTCTCATTTTTGAGAGAGTAAGTATCCTGATAAAATTTCATGGATGCCAAACGTGCTACTTCATTGTTATCAAGAAAGTTATTCTGACAAAAAAGTCCTTTGTCTCTTGCAGCAGACATCAATGCAATAAATGCTTGTTTAACACGATCGACCTGTTGTATAAAAATGATTTTGAAATACTAAAGGAAATAAAATGTAATTCTTATTCATTAGTATTTTAAAAGTCATATTTTAAAATATGAATATTAAATTTTTGAACCTACTTCCTCCAAATCTTTTTCCGGCAATTGTTGTGAGCGCTTCTTCTTTTTTCTATTGTGTATTATAACACTATTTTGGGACTCCTGGATGGTCTGAACTATTTGATTTGGCCTCAAATATTGAGAATTAATCTCGAATATCATTTTGTTGAAGCCTAAAGTGCAAAATCCATCTTCGTTTTGAACTTTCTTGTATATCTCATTGAGATACTCTAAGTGAGAGATAATCCAGCCTTCTTCACTGATATGAAGAAGACTCATATTTGGCCTCAGAGATCACAGGAAAGTAGACATACACACACGCATACAATATTTATCACAGATTCTTATGATTGCTTGACATTCAAATCTACTATTATATCAATTTGTTTAATGGTGTACGTAAATCATCAATCCAGTTAGAATGAAATATGTGATTATAAATACACATGCATACACATATGTTTGATGTTGTAAATATGAATATATGCATATTTCACTTTTTATTCTCATGTATGTACAAATAGATATTACGTATGCGTCAGATGCGCCAGGTTGATTAAAAAAGCCTATATTGCCTGTAATGCGTAATTTGCATGCAAATTCAATTCTTTGATATTACTGCATATTACAGGTCGCTATAACAACCGCCATCACTTACCGGCATCACTTACTCCTTATCGCACTTTTCTAGCGAGAAAAATTTCGCGCATGCGTGATGGCGCGAATCTGCACTTTCACCCACACATGGACCATTCCAAAGGCTCGTATCTAGAATCAGAAAGCAGGGGTACATTTTGGGACGTCACAATTACTTTCATGCTCCTTTTTACTAATGTAGATTAACTATCTTGGTTTAATTTAATTTTTTATCTTTCTTCATTCATAAAAATGACAAAAAGATAAAGAATAAATTAAATCGAGATTAAATTTAATCTACATTAATAGAATATATTAATGGACGTATCATGGCGACTTAAAGCGGTTAAATTAATAGGCGATTAATTTAGGCAGGATTGCATGTTGTAAAATTTTTAATTATGTAATTTGTTATCGCTGATTTAATTTTTCTTTCCATTAAACAATGAAAAATTAATTATTCTGTTTGGATGAACAAACCGACACAAATATTGTCTAATAAATATTGTCTAATAAAATAATCGCTAATTATGTTAATTTAATCAAAGTTTAGTTAAAGTTTCGGATGTTTCTTTTTCTATGGATACTTTTCCCATCTGAATGCCACTTAAATTATTTAATTCTTGTTGTTCACCGAATATTCATTAAACAGAAATAAAATAATAGTAATGATATCTGAGGAATACTTATTTGAGTGGGAATCTCTGAATACGTCTAACAATGGTCATTTATTTTGCGAATCTAAATACATCACTGAAAGTGCTCCCCCTCCCTGTTTCCTGATTTGTTATAGTTCGATGTAGACGACGAAGACGGATATAGTTGACGATAATTGAGAGTTGGACGTGCGCTTCTTAACGAAGCATCAGTGACATACTTTTATTTGTTTTATCATAAAATTATACATTCCACGACACTATGGTCTTACTAGGCGAAGTGTTTCCAGACTTCACAGCGGACACCCAGATGGGCACGATCAGATTTCACGAATGGCTAGGCGATTCGTAAGACATTCTGTAATATTTGTAACCTAGACAGACATTCCGTCATCATGTGATCATATAGAATAGTGTAGAAAAAAAGCTTAATTATTAATGATATACACTACGTACTGAAATATTCATAGATACGGTCGAAATGTTGTAAATAAAAATACTTGAGATATTACTATTTTGTTTATTTGTTGTGCTTTATCACTTGATGTGAAGTGTATTTATGTATATAATGTGTGTTTAGAATGTGTATTTAGAATGTACACACACACACACACACACACACACACACACACACACACACACACACACACATTTTACATTTGTTTACAATAAATTTATGATGCATAATTATTAAATACGATCTCTGTTCAATTTATTCAATTTGTATAAAATATTTGAAATACACAGGTGGGGTATCTTATTTTCACATCCAAATGACTTCACACCGGTCTGCACAACCGAGTTGGCACGAGTTGTAAAACTAATACCTGAATTCAAGAGATTGGGTGTGAAAGTGATAGCATTATCCTGTAATTCAGTTGACTCCCATCGTAAATGGATAGAGGTTTGCTCACAGCGAATTCAGTCACTTAGATTAGTACAAACTAAAAGCTGCTAGACGTGAAATTGATAAAATAATATTAAATGTAAGAGAACATACAAATATCTTAAATAAATATCTAACAATGATATTGTCATGTTATTTAGTAGAATATATATGTATTCCATTATCAAAGTTATGATTATACTATGACATTGCATTTAAATGCTTTATAAAAAGCAGTTTTTAAAGCTAATTCAGTGTAGTCAACATATGTAAGTTTTTTTTAGATAAATGTATTTGATCTAGAATATTTTCCAGCAAGAATAGATAGACAGTATAAGACATTGAATCATTACATCTCTGTTGTTTGCTAATGTGAAAGATAAAGTAATGATCACTGTTTTACACTCTCTTGCTGGAAAGCACTAATAACTTCACTTTGATAAAATTTAATATCAGATTTAATAAGTTTCTCTCATTTATTCATTAGTATTATTAAACAAAATTCTAGGATATAAAGAGTTACGGTGAGATAACGGGCGAAGAATTTCCATATCCGATAATAGAAGATCAAGCCAGAAAGCTTGCCACATTATTGGGAATGTTGGATCCCGCAGAGGTCGATAGTCAGACTGGATTACCCATGTCGGCACGAGCTGTGTTTATAATTGACCCAGCCAAAAAGATGCGATTGTCAATTTTATATCCAGCCACTACCGGTCGTAATTTCGAGTAAGAAACGTTTCATATTTCGTTAAATATTTATTGTTTGTAAATATAAGATCATTAAAATTTCGTACTTTGCATTGCAGCGAAATAATAAGGATAATTGAATCCCTTCAGCTCACGCAAAAGTACAAAGTAGCGACTCCTGTAGATTGGAAGGTAGGTTCAGGTTTAAGAAAATAAAATTTCACTTAGATTTTCAAGTGATAATTTTTCCGCTGTTTATAATTAAATATCGAGCAAAACATATCATTGATGATTTAACACGTTAATTTTTACATGTATTTTATACGACATTTTAGAAAGGAGACGACGTAATGATTGATCCGAGCGTATCAGACAGTGAAGCCAAATCTTCCTATAACAATATCAAAACTGTGATGTTACCTTCCGGTAAAACATATATGCGTATTGTGCCACAACCTCTAGATGCATAAAAAAAATTCGATGTACAGAAAGATTCTAATAAAATTCAAGCTGCACAAATCACATAACGATTTTGTTTGCATAAAATATATATTATTTTATAAAATCAATCATTCAACTTTTTCTTTATCATTTTTAACTATTTAAATAAAGACACCTATTCCATGTCTTTATTTAAATAATTTCCTCTATCTATCCTAAAATTATTTAATAGATAATTTAAGCCTAATTTAATAATTTTTTTTTCATGTAAATATAAAATAAGAGATTCGAATC